TCGTCTAGAGGTTAGGACAACACGTTGTGGCCGTGTAAACCCAGGTTCGATTCCTGGTTCGGACATTTTCGTTTTATTTGAGCAGTTTACTCTTGTCAGTTAGCTTGTTCGTGGGGTCGTCTACGTTTACGTGTTTATTGTAGGCGCGTCAGTATTGAGTTTTTTCCACTTTTCTAGTCCTCACCGGTATATTCCTCAACAAAACTGTCTGCTGTGTGCTCTCTTCTGTCTCGCGCTAACCAGGTGACCTTGGGCCTCTGGCGTAGGGCCACCCGTAAATAATGGGACTGCCTGGAGATGGCGGGTCAGAGAAACCCTCGCGTCTCCGTGTCTACTTGACAGGTTTCGGCCCCTTTAGCTCTGTTTCGGACAACCCGTCCGCCACGCTAGTGGAGCAAATAGCAACAGCTCTCGGGAGCGAGCAAACAAATCCTGCTCCACCTACTCCGCGGGAAGAACAGAGCACCCGTCAGCCTATCTGTTCCTGTAGGACGGCTAATGGCCTCACGAATTTGGGCGACTCCACGGGTCCCGGGGAGCCTAGCTCTCCTGCACTGGCTCGCCCCACTAAGGCTCCAGGGAACGTTGAGCTTTGCGGTTGGGAAGTGTTAGAGGTGTCGGCGGAGGCAGCTACCGAAGCTGTGCCTCGAATTCATTCTGCGCTCTGTAGCAATGATCGGAATAAACTATCGGTGTCTTCTGGTGTAGTTAGCGAAGCAGCAGATGTTCGAGAGACCCAAGAGGAGCGTGAGGATGTTCCCACATATTCTGGAGCAGACAGGACTGAGGAACCGCTGATGTTGGCGTTGCACTTTGGGGTCAGCATGCAGAGTGACAGTTGGCGGCTTGAAAAGTCTGCAAAAAATGGTAAAATGACAAGCTTGGGCCTTCTATTTACAGTTTGCCGAGCCCCCAGCACTTGATTGTTGTTGCCTTCTTACCGAAGGCCCACGGAAGCCCCTGCCTTTCCTGAAGTTGCTGCCCTTCCTGCTGCTGCTTCTACTGTGTGAAGATGCTCGTTTTCCTTGTAGGGACTGCCGGGGTTGTAGGCCTCTTTCTGAAGTTATATCTGATTGCATGCCTCTCGAGGCCTNCCTTGTAGGGACTGCCGGGGTTGTAGGCCTCTTTCTGAAGTTATATCTGATTGCATGCCTCTCGAGGCCTTTCTGCATTCATCGCTTTGTTTGGAGGTCAGCGACGGCGGATTTGTTCGATGCGACAATTTAGCGGCGATAAAGTGAAGAGAAAATGCTGGAGAGGACCTGGAGCAATTCCCGTGCAATTGCACTCACTTCAAGCGATTGTGTCTTCCTTAAGAACATCCGCCAAGGCCCCCGCGCAACAGTGTTCCAGGCTGCGTTCTGCATGAGTAACAACTAAGGACACACAAGGTCTCGGCTTCACTCTTCGTTGCTTGCTGCTGTGTGTTATTCTCAGCCTGTTGCTGCTGACCTGAGCCGACAGGGTTTCTCCTGCTGTGTCTCCGATGACGCGGGTTGTTTCGTTTGCAATTTTCTCTAGTGCGTCGATCTCCCTCACCGTATTTAGCTTTTCGCTTAGGGAGAATCAAACGTGAGTTATTGCTCTTTCTCTGTCGCCTACATATTTTGCCGCTGCTAATGTGTGCCCTTGCGTCCGGTTGCAGCTTCAAGAGCTTGCAAGAGGGTCAAAGGAGCGGAGTGGCCTCTTTGTTCGTGCACGTACGCATTCAAGGCATACTCGTAGCTACTTAGCTAGCCCGCTAGCCAACTACCTAACTGGCTAGCTAGCCAGTTGGTATGGTTTCTTGCATATACTGCGCGTTTGCGTCGGAGGCGGCTAACTATCTTTCCCATTTCTTCGTTTGTCTCAGTCGTGTGTGCGTTTGCTGTATCTTTTGCCGACATGCGTTGGGCTCAGATCCCCCCCTTCTCCGTAATGAGTCTGCAGCAGCAGTTAGCAGCAGCTTTGCGTCTGCTGGCGGTGCTGGCTCGAAAGGAACATCAGCAGGGGCTAGGGAATGGACTGCCAGAGGAGAAGGTCGAGCCGCAGGGAAGCTGAAGGGTGCAGTCGCTTGCCTTCGCTTATCTCCACGCTTGCCTGGTTTCCCCAACTTGCTGCACATTGGCATATTTAATCGAACGGGCTGCGCAGAAGGCTAAGAAGCTAGGGTAGCCAGTCATCTTGTCTAGCTAGCTACTGGGTGGAAGCCAAACCAGGGTACGAAGGACTTTGCGCAGCGGTTGCAGCTGCTCGGGTACGCCCGCTTGTCGAGCCATGTACTGCGCTGACTGCATGCCAAGGACATGTTCGCTGCAGCCGCAAGCGGCGCTTCCTCAGCAGCATCTGCTAGATGACTAGCTTTGATTCACCAGCTAGCTGCAGCCAGCTGCAGCCAGATGGTGAACGTGGTCTACTGCACGTAGCATACCATGACGCAACTAGTTCTCTTCTTGTTTATCCCAAACTGGCTGGTGTTTGTTAACGAAACAATTAACGTTGTTTTAGGCTGTTCTTTAGAGCCTCTAAGGGTCTGTTTCCCCTCAGCAGAAAGGCAACCACGAGAAAAGCCGATAGCGGGAGTCCCGCGAGATTATGTACATCTTATCGGGCCCGTGTGGCGCACTCGACGTGTGACTGCATGCATGCACTCATTCGATATACAGACACAAACAAGTAAATTCAGCTGCAGATAACCACCTATGTGCACGGCTGTACACACAGGTAGGCAGTGTACAGAGAGCTGCGCAGCCAAGCACCCGTGGACAGACATGAAGACCTTCAGAAACCCAAATAAAATGTTAGGCGA